TATATATATATATATATAATGTAATTTTAATTTTTGTGAAAGTAGTATCCTATATTTTTGGAAAATGATGAGACCGAACATATCTCATATATTTAATAGTTTAAATAGTTAAGCACAATACAATAATGATATATCTCGAAGGATTAATGTTTCACTCATTGGTAGGCTTAACTACATAAACTTAAAAGTTTATGACTTTATTTTGGTCTGCAAATTTTATAGCCGACAAATTTCTCTATCAAATACACAGATTAAATAGGGTTTATATTAATCTAGGTTATTAATTCCTTATAAAAGCAAACCCCTATAATTAATTACGTCTTAAACAATCAGAGATACCTAAGAAAACTTTCGATTAACATTGGGATTTCGTTTTCAAGAAACCAACGTTTAGGTTTCCATGATTGTTTATAAGAAATTTCAAAAGAGAAATGTTCAAGTAAGAACAGTTATTTTTGGAATTCAAAGGAGTGAAAAATATGAGATATCGAAAATTCAGTGACATCTCAAACTAACATATGATTTGACTTTACATCTTTGAAAGGAAAGTTATTTAATATTTCAATCCTGAAAATTAGTTAGATATTAGGGACTTATGTTTGCATATTATATGCAAATGACCCGAGAAAATAGAAGAATTTACGTCGTATCAAACGACTACATCGAAATCTTAAACGGTTTAGGGTTTATATCATATGATATACAATCGTGTGAAGTCCTAAAAGATAATGTGTGAGGGCTTACATCGTGTCAGACGAACAACTTCGATGTCTTATAGTTATGTTATTTAAATCTATCGAAGTTCAGTTGAAGCTCCTTTCGCTGTCTTCAATTGTTATCTCGACCGCCGCCCGAAGATGAATTGTCACTTACTCCAAGTCGTCGCATCGTCTTAAAAAGAGGGAGAGAAGAGAGAACATATCTAAAATGGTTTATTACAAATATTTAATGTGTTCTTTTACAATGTGTTTTGAATTTGTGTTTGTTATTGTTGATTTGGGTTTGAATGTTTGTAAATTTTAACGTTTCAACATTTATATTAAAAATTTAAAAGTTAAGAAAAGATTTTAAAATAAAAGCCAAGTGGTTTTGGATTGATCTCACCAATGCAAGGTTTAAAGTTGTCCTGTCTTGTCTCTTCCAGGGTTGCTTCATGCTCCTCCAATGCCTTGACCGCGATCAGGTTTACCTCGCAAAGGTGCACAAAAAAATTTGTATGAGAATATTACTAAACATAAGATTGTAAAAGCTTGTATAGGAATACACTACGTATATGAACCTTAAAAATATATTTTATTCTTATGCAATCAAATTCATCAACTAAGGATCAAATGATTGAACTACTTGAAATTATGTATATCACTTTATCGGAGAAAATAGAAGGCTTTAATTTTATATTTGAATACCATGACATTAAAATTAGGGGATATTTGCATACATACCATCCAATTCTTATGTATTTATATATCTAACATTTAAACTTTCAATTTTTACATTTCTGCCACTTTACCTATGTTTGAAATTGTATATTTCTTTTTTTTTTTTTTGGTTTAAAAGGGTGATATCTTTTATTGGAGTAAATACGTAGAAGTTGGGTGGTATGTGTGTAAATGCCCCAACTAAATTTATTAATTTTTATAAGAATAAAGAGATTAAAAAAATGAGTAATTAAGCTAAATTACCTTGGCACCTCAAACCTCATTGTTGACCGGATATGTAATAATGAAAGCCGATGCATCAGAATATTTGATTACGGGAAATCCTCCTAGCACTTGCAATGGACACCAAAACAGCTGCTATCTTCAGTCTTGGATTTCAATACCCTCACTGTCTGCTGCACATACCATTGCTCAACTTTATGATCAGCCTTGTGAACACCAGTTCTCTCAAGAAAGGACACAAGCTCATCACTGTGCCTTGTTGAAATCTCACCAAGCTCAACTTTATGATATTCTATTATCAATATAACCATTGGAAGTTGAGCAGAATGACTGAGTGGTTAAACATTTCTTTAATCCCCCTAAAGCAACTCTTCCCTTTGTGATAAGGAGATATCAATTAGAACAATATCTTGCTTCCTTGATGTTCCAGCATTGCTAGGACAAAGCAAAGAATACTTTCCCATCTTTGCACAATGTTGATGTAAGAGTTGCATAATGAGAGTGCTGTCCTTGTAACGAATGTATCTACGAGCCAGGTCGATCTCGATCGCATCAAGATCAGGAGGTTCTACCTGGGTTGGAGCTCTCGCTGTCAGTGCTCGGATAACATGGACTCATAATGATAGCGAAGACCAGTCGTCCGCGAAAACCGCAGCAATAATCTCGGAGACAACTTCTTCGACTCTCTCGTTCTTGTTAACGATGCAGAGAATTTCAAAGAGCATGCCGGCAGTCCGATAGGCTTTGCCAAGCTGAGCACGATCCACCTACTCTCCTCTCCAGCTAGCAACTTCATTATCTTTTGGAACAAGATCAGTAAATACAATTTTACCTAATTCTTTGTATATTTCTTTACACTGGTCCAGGGTAATCTTCCATACCATCCCAATCCATAAAAATAATGTGTATACCTTGCTTTCCAACCGGCGTTCCTCTATTTGCCCTTCTCAAGCTATCATCCTCATCAAGAATGGCCAAAGCACGAGCAGCAGCCTTGAACTCCAAAATTGAAATACTTCGCCAACTCTGGATGAGCAATTTCATTATGATCACAAGAACATTGACATTGTTGCAAAAGAGCACAGCATGTCCATCCAATCAGAGAGTATGTCGAGGTTGTTCTAACATGAGGTGGAACTGAATAATTAATTGAAACCATGTCTTGAGACGTCGAACTTTCTTTTGCCCCCAAACCTCCATTCCGCCTGCTGGGCATTTACAATGTGAGTGAAAGATGAGAACAGTACGGCCATTCAGAGGCGTCAGTTTCTTTAATTCAGCTTCCAAATCCTTGTGATCCCGCCCCAGCCCCAGTATTTGAGTGCCAAATGCATCCTTCGGCAAAGGCGGCATAAACCTGACACATTCTTCAGATTCAAGCTCGATATCAAACTCTATCGCTTTCCGAAACTCTCTACAATTTGGATTCCCGCACTTCCTGAGTTGTTGATTGATGATCTCCCAAAGCACGATGTCTCTAACCAACATCAAGACAAACCAAGAGCGTAGGATATGTAGGTAAGGTCAACTGCCAGAGGAACGCCTCATAAGCTTCATCGTAAATTAGTTTGAAGCAGGGCACCCTTAAAACACCGATCGGGCTGAGAACAACTATTAAGCATGAAGATGTCCATGGCTGCTTTAGGGGACTGCTTGCAGAAAGGATGTGAGAGGGGGTTGAAAGATTTGAACCTTTTATTCCGGGCACTAGATAAGCAATTCCGACTCTGCAGTGAAACCTGTAAGTTCGCCGTCTGTGGATGTTGCTTGAAAACCCCTTTCAACTCAACGACGTTCCGATGGACGATTAGATGATGCATGATCTGAACTTCACGGTGGACATCTTCCACCATTTCGCGATTCATCAGTTATCGCGATCGTCTTGCAGGCGAAAGATCCGCCAGTTTCTCGGTGAGTGATCAAGTAGACTACGCGGAATTGCCCTCGGCCGAGCTCGTTGATGAAATTGTAGGTAGAACGAACGTCATCTATCGGTCGGCGAACGGCAGGGATAGGTGAGCAGCGGATGCGGGGCGGTGCAGCGGCCACGACGGAGGGAGAGGTTTGCTCGGATGAGAGGAAGAAGTATCTGATTCTTGAAAGTGTTTTCTTGAGAAGAATGATCGAGCCCAGCTGAAAGAAAAAAAATACGCGGGGGAAAGAAGAATTGAGCGGGAAACACAAGATAAGAAAAAAATTATTGAGGTTGGCCTGGAAGGAAGCTTTTATTTTTTGAAGAAATAAGTGCCTCTTTATAGCCGCGGCGAGATGGGTAGCTATTTATAGCGAGGAAGATGCTGGTGAGAGCTTGTTTTGGAAGCCAAAGAGTGAGCTTGGTTTGTAAACCAAATGTATAATTATTGGTGCCAAGGAGGAAGCTTCTTGAAGAAGTTTCAAAGAACTCGAAATGGGGTCTTCAAGGTGTTCAAAATGATTCAAAAGATTGTTGCAATCCTCAAGTAAGTTCATCAAAGTATTTTATTCCATGAAAAATCCAAATTCATCCAAATTTTAGTGAAATCAAAGTTATTTGAACTTAGCTTAGATTTGCAAATTTGAAATAGATTACAAGATTCTAATATTCTTTACCGTAACAAGAGATATTATAAAGAACATTGACTAATTTACAACTTGAGTTGACTTAAAGAAGAGTTAGGTAAGGAAGATACTAGCTCTCACTCTAGAGTTCCGTCTTTTCCCTCCACCTAGGAGCTAACATCTCGTATCACAACCTAAAACTATAAATCAAATTGGGGCTTTATGTTGTCACTCTAAATTTCTCTAATTCTACACTTCAAAGTTTATTTCTCTAATTATTTGCACTTAACCCCATGAACTTCATTCTCATCCACGAAATCAAATGTGATTTTCACCATTTGTTGATTAAGACAATACCGCATTGAATCTTACATGTTCTCAAAACAGGTATTAACATCTTAATTGGTCAAATCAAGAAGTAAATGAAGTACAAGGTTTAAAATCATCATAACTTCTTCTAACATTAAAGACTAATACTTCACAAAATTTCCATCCAATATTTAATCACTTATCATTTTAAAGAAAAAAGATACATAAAACTACTCCGAATTCATGAAGAAAACACAACCACACTTAAGTTTGAAAGTAAAAATCATACACACAAATAAGAAGTCTAAATTTAAAACAAATATAATCATGAAGATAAAAACTTATCTCAAATCCTCTCCAACAAAGTCTTGAGGTTCTTTTGAATCTCTTCCTTCACTTACAATAAAAAGTAAAACTTAAAATAAAAAGAAAATTGGCGGTGGCGGCGTCGACGTGTGGTGGTTGGCTCTAGATGGATCGATCATCTTCTCTTCAATCCAAGTTTTCTTTTATAATTTCCTAAAGTTGTCTTGGTGTCTCTTTAAAATGTGTCATCATTTAATGAATCTTTTGGAAGTTGTCTCCTTTCAAATGTCAATTGAATGAATTTTCATGTTCATTAACTATTTATCACATTTTCACCAAGAATTGTTTCAAACACATCTTCAAAATTTTGTCCAAATTCATTAAATCATCAAGTAACTACTTCTTATGTTTAAGCGTGAGGTACTTAACGCTTAGGCACGACTCTCTCTGTTTCACTAGCGCGTTATGGGTGCTTAGGCACCTCAGTTCATTTTGACATCTTCTTCTTTTTTGCTCCAAATTTAATGTTTTTTTCACTCATTTCATCATTTTTCATCCATTTGATTGTACATGAAATAAAAACACACAAATACCTTTCATTAAAGCACAATATCTCAAAAATAGGTATAAAAATGTGTACATAAAGACTATATATTTTAGGTGTTTCAAAATCTCACAAACTTAAAATATTATTTGTCCTCAGATGACACTCCAATCCTTTAAACCCAAAATAAGTAGATTATGTAAATGACTTTCTTTAGGATATTCTAAAATTTTGATGTAGAAATACAGTAGTCCAATTTAAAAAAATATTAGCATATGAGACCAACTTACAACAACAACAACAACAACAACAACAAAGCCTTAATCCCATCGGCTACATGAATCTTTTTTCTCCATTGCGTCCTATTTAGTGTCATATTTTCATTTAGTTCTAGTAAATTAAGATCATTTTTAATACAATAAGCTCAAGTCTTCCTAGGTCTACCTCTGCCTTTCTTAACACAAGTCGAATCTAAAACATCTACTCTC